ATCACCAATTACTATTATTATTATTATTATTATTATTATTATTATTATTATTATTATTATTATTATTAATATTATTATTATTACTATTATTACTTGACGCGTTAAATTTAAAGTAAATCTTCGTGTATTATAATGTTTGTTAATTGCAGCTGCGTTTCAATGTCCAGCTCACACGTATAAGTGTCCTAACTCATTCTGCATCCCAATCAAAAGTAGATGTGATGGAAGCAATGACTGTGATAACGGAGAAGATGAACAATATTGTGGTAATGATATATTAATGTGAATATTTACAATTTTTGGAAACATTAAATACAAAAACACTACTCCTAAAGCCGTGTATGCCTATTCACTGGGCCCGACGGTCGTCGGCTGACGCGATTCTATGGAGAACGCAACGCCACGACGCGCGCGCAACGGAGGATGTTTCAATAACGATCCGTTCAGTCTGTCACCGGCAGTCACCAAACGGCGTCGATTCGTCAAACGCTCACAGGGTGCGGAGTTTGATTCGTCGTACGACGATCGTACGACCGTCGTACGACGCAGTGAGTACCCGGCTTTACTTACATAGCCCATGTGTGTTGGCTTGTATTAGGATCTACCGTACAACTTCCGAAAAGAAGGGCTTCTATATATTTAGGACCAGTAAATGGGCTTCTTTCCAAGGTGAACTTTTTCTCGCGGTGAGCTTAACTAAAAGGGGTGCTTATTTAAAAAAAACGAATGCTGTACATTTACAAGTAAATATGGAATAAATGTAAATCGATATTTTATAGATGATTATAACTGTCCAGGATATTTCAAATGCAAAGATGCCACAAACTGTATCTCTCAAGATCGTGTCTGTAACAATATCAAAGACTGTGTTCGTGGTGATGATGAACTTTTCTGCAGTAAGTAAATTTTAATGCTGTATACCATTACGGTAATTTTGAAAAAGTATTCAAGTATCTTCACATTTGCCATTATAATCACATTTTCATAGCTTAATAATCGTTTCCTCTAGCGTTATTGTGTTCCATTTTGGTGTTTTTTGCTACTACCTACCATGAACTCGAAGCACAGCTTATTGGTCAAACCGACAGTATAGTATTAAATCTATACTTGATAGCCCAACCGTTTGATATCATAATTGTTGACAATATTATTTCAGATGTGACGTGTCCTGAAGGATGTACCTGCAGTGGTCTTTCTTTTAACTGTTCTGGTACTCAATGGGGAGAGGATAAAGGTGCTCTTATTCCAACAGATATACGATACTTGTAAGTCAAAATGTACACTTATTAAATCTTCATTAGTAAGCTATAGTAAAAATGGATTAAAAATGCTTAGGCTTAGAGGCCTAGCTTATTTTTTTAAACAACAGAGCTTGGGTCAGTTGTTAATGAGAAAACGTTTCTCTTTAAAAAAAAATGTATTCAGTATATTGCCTGTACTTTGCCAGCTACCTGAAAGTATCGCATAAATTAGATGTCGTACGAAATACAGCTACAGTACATTGATTTCTAGATGACAATCGAGTATATGATACGCTTTGCCTAATGACAATATAACATAATCACATTATTCATGAAAGAATTCTCAGTTTTTCAAACCAATTAAACACAAACCATTGTCACCCTCACATTAGTAATTGAAATATATTTTTGAAAAGATTTATGAAGTAATTCAAGATAATACTGTATGCCTAACAGTTATACGATAATATACATTTTCAAATATTTTGTTTCACTTACAAATTCTCAGAAACATGAGCGGAGTTTCTTCGTATCCTGTCGTTTCGGTGAATGAGCTACTTTACAACAATCTGAGAAATTTCAAGTTCTTGATAATCTTGTAAGTATGACTACAATGAACTTAAATGACTAAGACACAGTGGCTGTAAACCATGTGCCCTAATAATATAGTTATTGATATATGTTATTTTGTAGGGATATCTCGGGAAACAGTATCGCGGGAGTCACAAACGCAGACTTTGTCCAGCTCATACATCTAAAGATACTGTAAGTTGACTCGTTTCCTTTAAGAATGAAATACGCAATATTGGAATGATAAATTTAATTACCTTATTTCGCATAGTTATTATTATTTGTAGCTTTTTAATGACTACCTATTCGGATTTTACGAAACTGAGTTACGTCAGCAGTCAAGTGCTCACACACGAGTGATTTGTTGACCGACCGTCGCTAACCCAGATCATCAGCCTTTAATTTTTTACTTTTTTTTTTTATCAGACTTCATTTATCGTTGATGTATTTCATTTTTATAGTTGCATCCAAGACAACATGATAACGTCATTAAGTGGTGATGTCTTTAAAGAATTACACAGTTTGAATTACCTGTAAGTATAACGACTTTCTGTGACATTAATCTTTGACTTTCAACTGGAAAATGTATTAACATCTTTTTTAAACCAACATGTAGCCTTCCATTTCATTAAATTCTTTACTGATCCATTCATTGGTTTTTGCATACCGTAATTCTGCTAATAGACAAACCAAACAGAAAGACACACGGTGGCGATCATAACTATTATTTAGAGAAATCAACCGAAATTGATTACCATAGGAAACGCTTGAAATTGTGTATCTAGCTTAGATAAACAACATAGTCCTAACTGTGTGATTTTAGGCCATTGATACTTTTTTCTTTTTTCTTTCTTTCTAATCAATTTAGTGATATACATGGTAATGGTTTGAAATCTATAGACAAAAGAGTATTCGCAGGATTAGCAGAACTGGAATATTTGTGAGTATAAATAATAACAAAACCGAGAGAATGAAATACAATATTTTTTTACAATTCTTTATAAACAATTGTAAGGTTTACAAGTACAAAAATAAATACTTAAAAACGGTACAGAACAACTCATTTGGAGTTAACATAACTCCTTGAAAATAACAGTTCATAATAAAGGCCTAATAGCCTATTTAATTTTTTGTGCTGTGGATGTTTAATTTACAGAGATATTTCGGGAAATGACATTGGTAACGTCGATACAAACATATTTAATGATCTGACGTCTATCAACAGATTGTAAGTATATTTACAGTTAACAAATAATATGTAACTTCTAACATAAGCATTGTTTATTGTTTTTATTCATAAAGCCTCGTAATGACATTTTATAGTTCAGGTACTGATTAGATATGCCAGACCACTCTGAGTTTGCTTAAAACCCACTACACGCGAGTACAGAAATTTCGTCTTTATTATATTTGTCAATATCAGTTCTATTGTAATATGTTTCAGAATCTCCGATGACTACGCATTTTGCTGCTTACTGAACGACAATATTGATGTCGATTGTACACCAGATGCTGACGTCTTTTCCTCTTGTGAAAATCTGATGCAGAACGAGGTTCTCAGAGTCTTTTTATGGGTTTTCGGATTGAGTGCACTAATTGGAAACGTCTTTGTGATCACATGGCGCGCTAGAAACTGGCCATCAGTAAAAAGTCCTTCTTACACCCAGTCTTTTCTGATCACGAATCTTGCAGTATCAGATGCCCTCATGGGTGTATATATGTTGATCATTGCAAGTGCTGATGTGTATTATCGTGATGATTACGTTACACATGATAGATATTGGAAAGGAAGTTTTATTTGTAACTTCGCGGGAATCTTAGCTTTTCTGTCAAGTGAAACATCGGTATTCTCTCTGACTGTGATTAGTTGCGACAGATTTCTTCACATAGCATTTCCATTTAACAGATTTCATCTGACACAAAAATCAGTGAAACGAGTGGTAGCAGGCGGGTGGGCAATAACGTTGATCTTGAGCATCATCCCAGCACTGCCATCTTCTTACTTCAACAGTGAGTTCTATGGTGTCACAAGTGTCTGTTTGGCACTACCACTAACATCAGAAAAAGTACGAGGATGGGAATATACTGTTGCAATTTTTATTGGTGTCAATATGTTCTGCTTCTTGATAATCTTTTTATCTTATTCTGGAATTTTTTTCCTTATTAAGAGGTCTAGCGCAAGAGTTAAACAGATGAGTACGATAGATTCCGTAAACAGACAACATATAGCACTGGCTGTACGGATGGTTTTTATTGTTGTTACGGATTTTCTTTGTTGGGTACCAATTATAATCATGGGGATATTGTCATTAACCAGAAGAGTTGATATCCCGACAGATGTTTACGCCTGGACAGCAGTTTTTATATTGCCAATTAATTCAGCAATCAACCCCTATTTATATACCATTGCATCTTTAAAAAAAGTGCAGAAACAACTCAGACCAAACAAGGTAGTATCCGAAAGCACACCCCAGAGTGATAAATGTTCAATGAGTGTAGGTAAGTGGTAAACATATTTTAATTATATAGTCGTTCCGTATGCATCAACCACTCCGACCAATATGATTTAAAAATAATTATAGAATTACTGCAAGACGGTTTTGATTTTCGTATTTTATTTTTTAAAAGTTGCAAACAGTTCAGGCGAACACCACCGACAAAAAGGAAAAGGAGAGTTGCCAGTTGTGAAGAAAATTGAAGCTATAGTAAATTCTAAGATTGAGACAGGTAACAAAGTGTTTGATGCTGAGATATGTGAACTTCTATCAAAGGCACTGCAATTAGCCACGCAAGGACCGGATAAAACTATACAGGTAAACATACAGTACATCTAATAAAATCTTGCACTTTGGTCTATGATTTATTAGACAACAGTATTATCATTTATACGAGTTTTCGAGATAAAATGGTAGTATTGTTTTAGACTACTATGAGGAAGTGATCCGCGTGGTTTGACTTCTCAGCACTGAGGTCGGGTTCGAGCTTTTGGTGTGCATTTCTTGTGTCGTTGGGTTTTGCAAATTACTTACGTATGTTTCTCTTCACCTAAGTACCTAGGATTAGTTGAATGTTATAATTACTTCATACTTTTAGTCTGTGTCTGCTTAATTTGCAACACGAGTGGGCATATACTCAATAATAAACAATTTGAACTTTCAGTACACCATGTATTATATGTAGAGACAGTTGAATTTTGTGCCAACTTTAGCGTACTTTGAACTTTAATTCATCATATTCTATATATATATATATTATATATATACTGTATATATATAATATATATATATATATATATTGTATATATATATATATATATAATTGGACGCAGTTCGCTGTTAGCGAAATGTAAAATACCATGATTGTTTTTGTTTTCCAGGTGGATGTGGAAAAGTGTGTACAACCGACTAAGGTTGACTCAAACCACTTATTGCAAGCAGACACGAGGATGCAGGGCGATTACGAAATGAGTGTACACAACCCGGTTTTTGACACTGATGTTTAGTTTTCTCCAACATTAAAAAAAAAAGTTAATTAGGTAATCAGTCAACATCTAATCACCAAAGTTTGTATGTTATAAATATTAATTTTTATATCTAAATATTTGTCATACAGTACCCTGTTGATGACATAATTAATGTCGAAATATTGAATCCCAACACGATGGCGTGTATTTCAATACTTGGAGTATAATTCCTGATGATGACATAATTAATGTCGAAATATTGAATCCCAACACGATGGCGTGTATTTCAATACTTGGAGTATGTATTATACTTTCGTACCCTGTGTAATATGAGCAAATTGACCTAATATTTAATTACTAGGTGAATCTAAGCTAACGGTAGCAACGTATATCTTTGTAAAAATCATACCAAAGTACAGAATGTCTTCCTCCGATTTTGCATTAGGTCATAAGATAGAGAAGTCAAGATGGATTAAATACGGTATGCGATTAATTGTTTGTGTATATAGGCATATATATATATATATATATATATACAGTATATATATGTTATAATAGTAAAACTCAAGACCTATCACATGGTTGCCTGTGATCAATTCGACCTGCTAAGCTAAATCTGCAAGTCATATTAGTTATTACAGTATTACTAATTATCTAAAAATGCTAATGCATCATGAGGTCCATAACGCTCATTAAAATCTAAGCCTAGGTTCCCCGATACAAAGTTTTTAGCTTTAATTTTGTGATTATTGTAACCTGGGGCGGATGCAAGAGGGTGGGGGGGGGGTGTGGTTTGGTGCAGACGGTCCGATCGCACCCCCTAAATTGTAAGAAAAATAATAATTGTTGTATTGTATTTTTGATATGAATTACAGGTAAGGTTGTAAAGGTGTGAGAGCAGTGGCGGTTCTAGGATATAATTTATGGGGTGGGGAGGGAAGAGAGAGCTAAGATGTCCGACTGGGGGGACTAAGTATTTATGGTTGCAACTATAGTGTGCGCAGCGTTATATGAGGGCCGGGGGTTGGTATAGGAGGGGTGTCCCCTCCTCCCAAAACAAGATTTTAAAAAAAGTGGGACTTCTAGATGGCCGGAGATGACTGGGATGGGAAAATTAGGCCTTTTTTTTTTGGTCCGACTGCCCGAAAAGCTTTAGCTGACGGGGGGGGGGGACTTGACCAAACTGATGGGGCTTGGGGATTAAGCCTCCTGCCCCCACCCCTGCTGGCGCCGTCACTCTATGAGAGTACAACTTCCGGGCACCTAGAGGTCCATATGCTCAAAATTTTCTCGCCCCAGCCTCAACCATGGTGGGGTCTCAGGTGGTGTGGACTCTCGCACGCACCCCTACCGCCAAATCTTGCATCCACCCCAGGTAACCACGGAGGAAAGAAACAGAAACAGAAATTGTTTCTTTCCTCCATGTTGTAATCAGGCAAATCGAGTATACTCCGCGAATCTGATCTTGCATGTTGAAAATGAATAGGACTAGGCCAGTTTAAATGTTTTGTGCAAGACACAACTTCCTGTTATGCTGTTGCCCTAAGGCTTCCCGTTAGTGAATACAATAGGCAATGTAAACACTTTCATTGATGTAAAAGTGAATGATTTATAACAAAAAGACAAACTGCAGCATTGGCTTATCGGTTATAAAATGGCTATTGGTAGCCTGAGAATTATCTGCATATTAAAGGGAAATCCCCACTATACCTTTAATCCGTCATAAGCCCCAAATATAATGGATACATAAGGAAATAAATATACTGTATTCATTATTACTTTTTTCGCTTAGCTTGGTAGCCATTTTAAATGCACTCATTTTGGAAAATAATAAATGAGAAATATGTCAAAAACTCCATTTATTTTGCGTAACAAAGTTAATTTTTATTGTATTTTCTATACATTCCTCAAATTTCCTTTCTTCAACATGTGTGTAGGCCTAAATTGAGTATAGCAATACTTTTGATTGTGGAACCACTTTGCAACGATCTTTCTTCACATACCGAGCACAATGGAATTGTAAATATACATTACTAATGAGAATTGAATTAATCGTACCGTACTATTTTAAATATATAAATAGGCCTATGTCCATTGTAGAACTCTCCCTTAAAGTATACCTAGATTAAGTCATTAAATATTAAAACTGCACCTTTATTTAATATTTATTCATTATTTGCTTAATGACGAGGTAAAGTATATAGGCCTATTAATGTATTATTTATTGCACACTATATTTTAAGAGCATGCGTACCGTAATGTAGCTAGCACAAACTGGTTAGAAAATGCCCTTTATGACAATCATAATACACAATAATCTGAAGTGAACTCTCTAGTAAGAAGCTGGCGTAAGTCTATGGTTTAACCTTGCATGCCCTAAGACCACTTAACCAACCATGACAAAGGCTAGTATATTGTTTTTACGACGAATTTGTGTTTCTATGAATACTGTTTGATTTTTATATACAAGTTTCCGATGTCAGCTCAGGCCCGTAGCCAGGAGGGGGGGGGGGGTTATGGTTCGGGTAAACAACCCTTTTCTAGCGAACCCCCCTGTTTTCTAGCGAACCCCCTCGAATTTTTGAATGAGTCCCACTCGGACGGAATATCTGTTTTTAACTTAGCCAGCATATCAAAATTTAGCACCTACTTCATTATTTGGTCACCCGTTTTTAAATTGTAGCCAGCGATACAAGCCTACATTCATAGAATATATTCTCAGCTTCAGAAGTTCGGAGATTTAAATTGAACGCAACTTCAGCAAACCATGACCTAGATGTTGACTAGCTAGGTTCGCTCTTCGTTCGTTTAGGGCCCCCCCCCCCCCCCCCCCTTTGTGCACAGTGTTAAAATTTTAAAGCTTATTCTTGAGCCAATACTAATTCTTTCCTGGGATCACTCAAAATGAATACTTCTAAACATGTAAATATGCATCAGTACACGTTATACATAGGCCTAATAGAACACATAGGCCTAAGCGTGATTTAAAAAAAATCTTAAATCCATAAATCTCAGGCCAGGTCTTTTAAGATAGAAATGCGATACTGTGGTTCAATTTCGTTTTTATCCTTTTGCAAGTTTCTTAAAATGTTTGTTTAATAATACTACTACTAATAGTAATAATAAAAATAATAATAATAATAATAACAATGATGACGATGACGATAGTAATAATTAATATTAATAACAATAAAAAGTGAAGAAAATTGTGCTAAATGCGTTAAAAAGTTGTGATTTGTTGATCATATAGTATATATAGTTAAAGCTTAGTAAGCTATAATTAGGCCTAAGTTAAAGATATTAAGTAGATCCCTGATAAAAGATCATGAGAAATTTGTTGGCGTTTCATTTTGACTATAATGGTAATGTGATGATGATGAATTTTACTATATAAAAGTGTCATTTCCGGCCATCTCGAGAGGTACTATTTCCTCAAATTTTTTTGATTTTGTGAAATCACGTTCTTGAAGTAGCCCTATGTAAAATACATACTCATAGACAATGTTTTAAAGCTTTTTTTTTTCTTTTTTTTTTATGGTATATCACACACACATTAATAAGAATAAGATTTCTATGGTTGTCAAAAATCCCTGATAAAAGATCGTGTTTGTTTAATACTACTACTACTAATAGTAATAATAATAACAATGATGATAATGACGATAGTAATAATTGATAATAATATTAATAGCAATAAAAAGTGAAGAAAATTGTGCTAAATGCGAAAAAAAAAATTGTGATTTGTTGATCATACTATAGTATATATAGTTAAAGCTTAGTAAGCTATAGTTAGGCCTAAGTTGTCCTAGATATTAAGTAGATTCCTGATAAAAGATCATGAGAAATTTGTTGGCGTCTAATTTTGACTATAATTGTAATGTGATGATGATGAATTTTACTATATAAAAGTGTCATTTCCGGCCATCTTGAGAGGTACTATTTCCTCAAATTTTCTCACCTCAGCCCCAGCCATGGGGGGCTGCGGTGGTTGTGAAATCACGTTTTGGAAGTAGTTCTATGTAAAATACATACTCAAAGACAATGTTTTTAAGCTTTGTTTTCTATAGTATACACACACACATTAGTAAGATCTCTATGGTTGTCAAAAATCCATGATAAAAGATCATGAGAATTTTTTTTGGCGTTTCATTTTGACTAATGGTGATGTGATGATGATGAATTTTACTAAAAGTGTCATTTCTGGCCATCTAGAGGTACTACTTTCTCAAATTTTCTCACCTCAGCTCCAACAAAAACCGTCAGTGGGAAGTCTGCCTTGCCTGTTACGCCACTGTATTTGAATCAGTTCAACCATGAAGCCTCCGTGGTCTAATGGTTATGACGCTCGCATTGACAGCGAAAGGTCGCAGGTTGGAGTCCCAGCGATAACTGTTTTTTTAATTACACAATTACTTTATTCATTTATTTACAGGACTTCATTCGTTGAGAGCTATGCTACACAATGCATTATTATGTCCTTTATTAACTGTATTTACTTTCTTTGTTGATTATTATATAATTTAACAGTGTTAAAGGCTATCTTCTTATACACATCTAGATGTGTATAAGAGACAGAGGTGGGTGTCGACTCATAAAATGCCCTCCCCTCCACCTTTCAAAACAGATCTGTGCCCTTCCCTGGGTATGACAATCAACTCCATCGAGTCGTCGGCTCCTGACGTATGTCTTAGTGACTGCTGTTTGTTTTTAGGATGTGATCTGGTTTTTCACGTACATTTTTCGTGATTATGACTATTCTAGATAAAGAATGTTTTGAGCAGAGGTGGATTCAAGGCCCCCACCCCCTTCATTTTTTTAAGGAAAAAAAAGGAAAAATATATTCAAATTGAAGTACGACAGTGTAATTTCCGGCCATCTAGAGATGCCCTAATCATAAATTTTCTTACCTCAGCCCCACCATGATTGGGTGGTTCCTCGGTCTGTGAAAGTCCCTCCCTGGTTCACCTCTCTTTTGAATTCCTGAATCTGCCACTGTTGATTTATTATATAATTATTTTTGCGCTTATTTATAATGCGTCTATTGCAATTTTCACTTTATCCTCTCAAACAGTCCTAAGAACGTTCGGAGTGCGCTACTTCACAGGGGGAATCTCCCGCCCCCCCCCCCCCCCCTTGACCCCGTCGGGGTCATACGTAATTTGCATAACGGCTCCCCCACCCCTTTCAAAATCCTGGCTACGTCCCTGCCTAGATGTTGACTAGCTAGGTTCGCTCCTCGTTCATTTAAGGACAGAATTATACCCCGAACAGAAACTAGTGTAGGCCTAGGCCTAAGTACATTAGGACGTAGGCCTACTATAGGTACTAGGCCTAGGCTTTTGTTGTAAAAGTTGAACAGGATGCGCCATAGGCCTACATTTAAAAAATACATTTTGTTAATTATTATGGTTGGCCTGGGTCCTAGGCAGGCAGGCCAGCTTTACCATCGAAAGTCCTGGGATTCGACGATGACGTCAGTGCACATTTACAAACGCATTTGTAAAGATGCATATAATTCATATTTCATTTGGTAGACAATAAACATTCAATAAGA